ACACGCATATATATGCAATGTTATGTTTATGTTTACCTTTTAATGCTAAATACTCTCAATTTCTGTGCTCTGCATACTACATACAAGCATTTTATACGTTTACACAAAACAAAACAAATTTCACACTCATGAGAGTTCATGATAGAGTAAACTGAACTGACAGTTCATGTTATCGTCAAGTTCATCTCACGTTCATGATAGTGCAAATAGGCCCAAAGATTTTATTATGTACTTACTTCCTCAGTGCTTTTATTGACAGCTCAGCTGTTGTTTGTTTAGATTTTACTTATAAAACATATAACTTATATATCAAATTTTGCTTGTGTGAAATTTATTTTCAAAGATCGCATTCGACATTCGTAAAACTGCCTAACTGAGACAGTGTGAATGTGCTATTAAACTATTTCAGAAGATATGGCAACCACTTTTTCCTGCGGTATGCCATTCGCTTAAATGACGTTCCTCTTATTTTATTTTTATTAAGCTGTGTAAGTAAAAGCTATATTTTGATTATAATAAAACGTTTAAATTTGTTGATAATGTACATCTTGTCAGAGATATAAATAATAAAAGTAAGTCAATTACATAAATAGACTGAAGATGTTTATTTTGATATTATGAATTTCTCTTAAAAGAAGTGATCGTATAGGAGAAAACGGCTCAAGCTTCCAATGGCAGAGGAAATAGTTGGATGTGATCAAAGGTGTGGTAACTAAAATTAAGTATATCATTGCTTTTACATAAAAATTATTTGTCGAATTGTCTGCTGTAAGCGTAATAAATAATTTAATTTGAAATATTATATACATACATATTTATAAATCGGTAGTAGTGACTGTGAAAATACTCTTTTCAAGTCTCAGTGCATGCTCTGCGCACGAGACCTGTCATACAGTGCATAGATATGTTATTGTTAAAAATTAACTTAAGTATTGCAACTAGGACTATTATAACTAGAACATTTTCTACGTGTTAATACTGCATAACTTTTGTTTGTCTCCAGCATGACCCAATTGTCTTCTGCGTTAAGTCTACTACAAACATCATTTCACACGAAAAAGTGCGGTACTATATACATGATATTTTATATAATAAAAATCTCACTATTCAAGCGATATTTACGTAGACAAATTTTATACAAGTACTATGTAAAACAGAAATTAGTAGCACGTCTCATTAATATTACTTTTGCTTTGGAATCGAATATATATCACAAGTCATCATATTTCTAATCGCCCAGAAGGTTTTAAACAGTGCACACATATTTGTATGTACACACAAGCTTTTTTGAATGCTGTAATAGATGCACGCCATTCTCTAAGAAAGTGAAAATGAAATTTATCTGTGAAGTACATTTTTGTTGTTCTGAAATAAATACCACCAAGTGTCATGAGGATTATGTCAGGCAGAAGCAAAATATACTTAAGAATATCAGACGAGCAAGGAAGCATATCCTAGGCAACGTGAGCGCGGTTGAGTGTTCCTAATGCGACGACTGTGCTGCACCACCGAATATGTGTGGTTAATAACAGTCGTAAGACGACATGTTGCGTGGAATTAATGCTAAAATAAATGGCAAAATAAATAAATGTAACAAAATAAGCTAAATAAATAGTACCTATATGTGTACACATAAACATATATGCATTCAGTTCTGTACCAGTACACCAGTACCGCAGAGCCAAAAGAGATTTAACAAACAACTAAACGGAGGCGTGGAGCAAATGTACATTAATTTATAACAAAATAAATGTGGAAAACGCGTTCACACAAGATGAAACGCCAAAATAAAAAATTTAAAAACCCCAGAACTGTCAGTAGCAGAAGAGGCAAAACCACTTTTCTTAAGTGCTTTATGCCATAAAGCATTCATTTTTATATTTTAATTAAAATTTAAAGAAAATTCACAACATACAATGCACAAAGTTAACAAAGTGAAAACTACAAAAGATGCAGGCGATGCGAACTTGTTGTTTCGCGACTTACTAAATGCAATTTTAATACAATCATTCAAGATTATTGCGTGTCCTTTAAAATTATATTAATATAATGTTAGCATTCAAACTGCCTATTCGTTTAACTAATCGTTAATATATATCCAATCTATTTTGATTTTTTAGTCTTAATACCTTACGATGTTGTATATTAATTAATGGCGTTACTTACGTTTTCCGCAAGACACACTTGACTACGTGAAGTATCTGTATACAGCAATATATGTTGTTAGCCGTACTGAGCGACATCCATACTCTTTTTACTGCATTATGTTAATATATACATACATCCTTAAATATGTATTTTTCGCTGGTATCAATTTATTTAAATATACCAATTCTTAGGAGTGTATATAATTTTATCTATTTTATTTCTTTTCAATCGGTAAATAATAAGATTTTTGTTCTGTCGATAAACTGCTTGATATAAGTTATTTTAATTTTTTAGAAAAATATTTAAACTTTTAGGAACATTTTTATTTTAAAAGTAAGCATGGAGCTATGTATTTAAATTGTTGTACTATGAAATATTTCTAGTTCCTCAGCTTTAACAAAAAAATGGAATTAGAGACAATTGTTATTTTATTCGCTTTAAAGTAGTTTCACTGCTCCCCCTTCATACTGTTTAAAAAAAATTTTAAGCTCTATGAAAAGGTTAAGTTCAGCCGTAAAAAAATTGAGGATAAGTCCATTTAAAGTCCAGCGTAATCCGAACGTCCAAGATAAAATGTTTAAGCAGTACGATAGAAATGAAAACAATTGAACCGTTTAAATTGTCATATTATTGGGTTATTTTTGAAACTCAATTGATTTATTATTCGATGCCTTTTTCTGGTAATTTGAACTGAAATTGGCTCAATTTGAAAATATTGTAAAAATGGCTCTACTGGGAGATGAAAACGAAAATACTTGTATGTTTTGTGTGCGTTCATAATTCACATATACGTTTGCTTAATATAAAAATATTGTAAGAAATACAAAAACATTAATATATATTGCATGTATATATATATATATCACATGTTATGCTATAAAATAGGATTATTTACGGTGAAAAAATTGCACGAGATAGCGTTTAAGCAGGTACTCGAACCTTCTTGCCAATTTATTCAAGTGAAAAATTTCATATGCTGATGCGATGAGATATGTGGTAATATAAAGAGAAGAAAATTGGTTGTGAAAATAGTAACTGTATGAAAAAAATATTGGATTCCTGAAAGTAGCGTTCGATAGATAAATTCAAGGAACTGCAAAAACTGAATATAGGTATTTTGAACTGTTAAATTTAAATTGATGCGCAACCAGCTATGCTGCGGATATAATATGATACATTCATGTTTTGCTGCTCTTTTTTGACTATTATGCTGAATCAGGGACACTAATCCTTTAAGAAGAAAAGTAACAATTATTTAACAACAGTTAAAATTGCAAGTCGGAAATATGACAGGAAAAAATTTCAACATACAATAAAATCAAATTCATAATCATGTTCATATTGGCGAATAACATTTTCTCTGAAAAGTAAAATATTCGCTTTCAACCGTTCAGTAGTTTCTAAGTTCACTCGATACACATTCTCTCGACCCTTCGGTATAGGCCAAGTTCAGTATTAAAAAAACGCTTGTTGTTTATCTGCTCACTGCTCAAGGAAGCCATTCTTCGTTAATAGATGAAAACAACAGTTTTGCAGTTCACATTTCTGAACCCTGTGATGAGCGTGTTGACCGAGAGCCATGCATCGCGCTCAAGGTGACCATATTGAGAATTCCAATTTTTTTCTTTTAATTTAGCGTTCGTAAAAGTACAATTGGGCTACCGGGTACATCAATGATTACTGCTAAGTGGTCTAAACTGTCTAAAGGTTTTACCTTATATTTTTATAGCCTATATAGGCTTAATCATATTGAATTGATCCCATATTTTTTAGAGTAGATTAAATGCTAGCTTATATATAAAACTCGAGAG